ACAAGGGCAGACTTAGAGATCACACACTGCCCTGCGGCCTTTGAAACTAGCCCTTCTAGGTGAGCGGGGGCTGCTGCCACTGTGGACGCTCTAGGACCTCCCATTAGTGATACTCCTGCGACCTCCACTGTCCCTAACCTAGCTCTACCACTGTCACCACCAACCTGGCTGGCACGGCCACCGTTACTACCACGGTGGTTTCTGCTGGCTTTGCTGTGTAACTGCTGCTGTTGTCTGCCCCTGTCGCTGCCACCACGGCAGCCGCTATCACCCCTACCACTGTCACTGCCACTGCTGCAGCACCACGGTCACTGGCTGCACACCATCCCCACCACGGCCGCCATCCCGCCCACTATTGCTACAACTTTGGCTCCTACGGCAGTGAAGACCTCCTTAGTGAAGGAAGAATTGGATTGGTGCCTTCTGGAAGGTAGACCCATCATTCACAATGAAAGACATGATGGCTGTGGCAGAACAGCTGGATCGCAGGTATTGAACGCACAAAGGGGGAACGCAGGTACAAGAGTGGAGAGCATGGCCTGGGCCTGGTGGGGAAATGCGCACCATGCTGACTGGGACTTCAGGCCTCTCTGGTCAAAAACAAGTGGAAAAGCTTGCAACCCACAAGCACTTTAAAGAGAGGCCCAGAGGGCCGGGAAGATGGCTCAGTGGGTAATTGTGCTTGCTGTGAAAGTCTGGTTAACTGAGTTTGACCCCTACGGCCCACACAAGAGTGAAAGGAGAGATTTGATGCCATAAAGTTTACCCTTGACATCCACATGCATGTCCTCCAAAAACATATCATGCACACACACACACACACACACGTACACAACGATAAATAAATATTTTAAAATGAGAAAGAAAGAGATGCACAAAATACATAAGCGAGGTAGAGGCCTGGAGGATGAACTGGGAAGGGACATTAGCTAATATGCCTTCAGAGGGACAGAGTGAGCTGGAAAGAGGAGAGACTCATGCAGAGCATGGCTAAGAGCAGCCTGAGCCAATGCAAGATGTAAAGTCCAGGCAGGAGAGGTTAGTTCTGACCCGCACAGGGATGTTAGAGACAAGAAAGCAAGAAAATAAAATCAAATTGCCGAGGAAAGTGCTGTCTAGCTTGGGACTCTAGGCCCAGCCAGGAATGGCCTAGGCTTACAGCTGAGTTGGTATGGCGCTTTGCCTAGCATGCCCAAAGCCTTGGGTTCCTCTGCCAGCACCATCAGCACCGTGTGGTGGAGTACGCCTGTCATATCAGCCCTTAGGAGTTGGACACATGAGGAGCAGACACTCAAGGCCATTGTTGACTACATAGCATGTTCAAGACTCATCTAGGGCTACATGAGACTTTGTATAAAACAGCAACATAACCAAAGAGACAGTAATTAATGATGGGAGGGTGGGTTTGTGAAAGAGGGATGGGTGGTGGCTCCTGACCTTGGTCAGAAAAAAAATGGGAATTCTGAACGATTCCATTCTTCTTGAGATACTGGAGTAACTATGTGCACTGTAATTTTAAATAATCACCAACATGCTTGCAAGATGATTCTCTTCCTCAAAACCTGCTGCAAGGTACCACTACCACAGGAGCTAGGAATGGAGGTGGGGTCTGGACGCATGTTCTCCATCTTGATATGGAGAAAGCTTTATCTCCAAAAGATGGGAGTTCGAGGGGGTCTGTGGCAGGAAACTGGGTCATGAGCATGAAGCCTTTCCAACTCAGTTAGCACGGTTATAAGCAAAGGCAGGTCAGAGTACGTGTTCTTCATGAACCCCGCCCCATCAAGGCACAAGGAAGTGGCCATCTGCAGACTGGCAAGACAGCTTCACCCCAAACCAGGTCTGCCGAGCCTTGACCTCAGGTACCCCAGCCATGAGGGATAAAGGCTTATTTGAGCCACACACCCAGGGCATTTGGAATGCCATCTCAACTAGACTGAGACAGGGGATGGGAAGGAAAAGGGGAGAGAAAAAGAAAGACGAAGACTGCAAGTTGAGTATAACAGCAATGAATTTCAATAAGTGCAGAAGTGCTAAAAACAGATGACGAAATGGGAATCTAAGTGAAATTCATCTGTGTGTAGATGGAAAGGTTAAAACAAAAGCAGAGATCGCTAATTATAGTACAGCGATTCTAGCAGTATCAATGGCAGCCGAGACTGATTCTAGGACGCTTGGCTGAGAAGTCCCACTTGAGTCAGGAAAAGGTGGTAAGGTGCTCTTCTCGGGCTCCTCAGTGGAGGCTGTTGTGGGCAATAAGCCGGCTGGGGGGGGTGTTGTATAGACAGGGGGGCTTCATGTGACTATTTGCAAATTACTTGATTGTCTGCTTAGAAAATCCTGGAACATGTGGGCAAGTTATTAGAGCTGTGGAGAGGCTCTGGCAGCATTCCTGGTACGGTGACCAACACAGAAAAATGGAGCTGATGATAGACCTATCACTTAAAAAAAATCAATGGTGTTCCCATGCACCATCAAGGAGCAAATAAGAAGCGTAATAGAGGGAAAAAGAAAAAAAAAACCTCCGACTCTCGTGGGCAACACCAATTACATACTGCCGAGAAATAGATGTAGTGAGAGAGGATGTGAATTTTTATGAAGAAAATTGCTAACTGAGTCTTGTGGTGCAGCCTGCAAGTCCAGTTACTCAGGAGGCTGAGGAAAAATGACCGCAGATTCAAGGCTTGCCTGGGTAACTCAGTGAAACCCTGTCTGTCTTAATTTCATTTCCTGTTGCGGTGATAAAATACTTGATACCAGAAGCTTGGAGGAAAGGGAGGTTGTCAGCTCACAATTCCAGGTTATGGCAGGGAAGTCTAGGCAGCAGGAACCTGAAAGAACAAACCACACCGTATCCACAGTGGAGAGCAGAAAGCAGTGAATGAACACCCTCATGCCCATACTTAGCTAGCCTTCTCCACTCTTAGATAACCCAGATCCCTTGTCCAGAGAATGGTAACACCCACAGTGGACAGGTCTTCCAACTAATTGAGATAATTCCTCCGGATACGCCCAAAGGCCAACTTAATTTAGACAGGCTCTCATTGAGACTCTTGTCCCACATGATTCTAGATTGTGTCAAGCTGACAGTTAAGAGTAACCATCACACTGTCTCATGATATCACAAAAAAGAGGGCTGGGGAAATGGCTCAGTGATGGTATGCTTCCTGCCATTACCTAGATCTGTTAACAACTTGATACAGCCTAGAATCATCTGAGGAGGTCTCAGTTGACACATTTCCCAGACCAGATTGGCCTGTGGTCACATCTGTGACAGATTGTCTTGGCTGACAATTGGTGCAGGAGGTCCCTGCCCACTTTGGGTAGCACTATCCCTAGGCAAGTGGGCCCAGGATGTAAAGAAAGCTAGCTGATCATGAGACTGGGAGCAAGGCAGCCAGCAATGGTTTCTACTTCAAGCTCCAACACCGAGTTCCTGCCTTGACCTCCCTCAGTGAAGGACTGTGATGTGGAAGTGTAAGCCAAATAATTCTTTCCCTTCCCTACGTTGCTTTTTTTCAGAGTGTTTTATCATAGCAACAAATGCAACCAAAACACTTGTCTACCATGTGCAGGACCCTGGGTTCAATCCCGAGTCCATAAAGAATGAAAAGAGGAGGAAGGAAGGGGAAAATATGAAATTTATTAATGGATACAAAGATCTTAATAAATGGAACACATTTCATGGATGAGTAGACACTACATCACCAATGTGACACCCGCCCCCAAACTAATTAACAAGCCCGACGGAGCCTCAATCAGATTCTCAACAGTCTGGTTAGTAAAAATTGACAAATCTATTCCAAAATATATGTGGAAAGGCAAATGAATAGAATGATTTTGAGGAGAATAGGTTTCAGGAGAAGGCATGTGCACAGAAGCCAGGAAGCATTACGGAGATGGAGTAAACACCCTGAGCTGTGCTGGTACAGGAATTACAGATGGATCGATGGTACAAAACCAAGCACAGAGCAGCCTGCACCAGGTTGACGGGCACGGGCATCTGATGGATTACAGAGGTGGCACGGGGAGTCAGTGAAGAGGAGATGGATGACTTCATATGGGGACCTTCCACTAGAAAAAAAGTAATTAGATTTTCTCTTTTACTATGTTCAGTATAATGAATTCCACATGACTAAAGACAAAAAAAAAACTGAGGATTTTAAAGAAGCTTTAGAACTTCTCAGAATTATAGGATATCTTCATGATGATCTAAAAATAAAAAGTGACTTATTAGACAAAGAACAGTGTCTAACTAGAAACAAAGTCAAAACAACAAATGAGAACCTTCACCACCACCCCCTGCAGAAAAGTCCCATAAGCTCAAGAAATGCAACCACAGGAGATAAGTCACATGTAGGTGAGAGACCAAGGTATACTAGTGTATTTTTTAGCAACCAATAAGATAAACTCAATGGTATAGCCAAACAAATGGGCAAAGACTATGGATTTCAAGCCACCCAAGAGGGTTCCCAGGTGTCTGTCTGATGGCAGGGAAAGAAAGCTGTGTAGAATCAGCAGCCACCAGGTCAACGTGAGGTTAGTAGCATGCACCACTTCATGCCACCACAGGAGCAAAACCAAAGTGTGCCAGGATGCCAACAGCTGGTGAGGACTCAGGAGAGGCAGCCCCCATGCAAGAGGCAGCCTCCCCACAGCCAGAAGCACCCACTGCTTCAACACCACAGATAGTGTCTGCCCAGCCAGGGTGAATGTTAAGCTGGGAGCTATTCTGACTGGTGGCATTGACATCAAGAAGTTGGAACCACATAGTCTAATACATTGTCACTGCTCCAACCCTGAAAGCCATACCTATCTGTGACATGACTCCCTGGACAGAAAGCCTCCCTTATAAAGTTCTAACCTAAGAGAGGTTCAGTCTGACCTCTGTGGAGAAGGTGCAGGATATCTTTTTACATATAAGAGTATTGATCCATTTTGTGTTGGCTATTGAACACTGGACACTGAGTACTTGATAAAGAAGATGTTATTTGGTCGCAGACGCCATCGGAGAGCAGCAGCCATGGCCCTGCGCTACCCCATGGCCGTGGGCCTCAACAAGGGCCACAAGGTGACGAAGAACGTCAGCAAGCCGAGACACAACTGGCGCCGTGGGCGCCTCACCAAGCACACCAAGTTCGTGCGGGACATGATCCGAGAGGTGTGCGGCTTCACGCCCTACGAGCGGCGCGCCATGGAGCTGCTCAAGGTGTCCAAGGACAAGCGCGCCCTCAAGTTCATCAAGAAGAGGGTGGGCACGCACATCCGTGCCAAGAGGAAGTGGGAGGAGCTGAGCAACGTGCTGGCCGCCATGAGAAAGGCTGCGGTCAAGAAGGACTGATCCCTCACCCCCATAACCGTTGCTACCGCGCAAAAAAAAAAAAAAAAAAAAAAAAAAAAAAAAAAAAAAAAAAAAAAAAAAAAAAAAAAAGATGTTATTTGGCTCAGGATCCAGATACCTGGAAGGTTCAAACAGCATGGCATTGGCACTTGTCGAGGGCCCCCTGGCTTACCACAACATAATGAGGAAGAGGAAAGGGCATCATATCCATTCAGAAGAGGCCATGTGTGATGGCTTTGCTTTAGAGTGACCCAATCTTGTGAGAACTTACCCAGTCCCTGAGACATGACACGTTACTGCAGGGTGACACTAACTCACTGATAGTGGTGGAGATACCACAATGTAACTCAGTCCACTAGGTCCCACCTCATAATGTCTCCACCACCATGTTGAAGACCAAGCTTCCAGCACCTGAACTTCTTGAGGTCTGTCTTCGTTAGGGTTTCTATTGCTGTGAAAAGACACCATGACCACACAACTCTTATAAAGGAAAGCATTTAATAGGGCTAGCTTATAGTTCCAGAAGTTCAGCCCGTTATTGTCACGGATGGTGGCATGCAGAGAAGGAGCTGAGAGTTCTACATCTTGATCCATAGGCAGCAGAAGCAACTGTGTGTCACACTGAGTGGATCTTAATCAAAGGAGACCTCAAAGCCCACCACCACAGTGACACACTTCCTCCAACAAGGCCACGCCTACGAATAGTGCCACTCCCTATGAGGGTCATTTTCTTTCACAAACCACATCCACACCCTCACAGTATGTTAGATTGGCTAGAAATTTATACCTACGTGGGTGCTCAGATAGAGCCCTCAGTATTGTAAATGACACAGGTTAATTCTTCCTAAACATAACCATCTATCATGATGTCTAGCCTCTCGCCTCTGTACACCAGTAGTATGAATACTCCTATAAACAGGTTCTGGCAGCTTGACAATGGACAGTAATGTCCACCATGTGCCAGTGCCCTGCAGACTTCTCAGGCACACACTGGGTGCTATGTATGAAGTTGTCCAGAGTGGTACTTACAATGGGAAACATGTATAGAGTAATCACGTGCACCAGAATGTCAAACAGCCATTAAAATAAACTCTGGACATTTTTGCTTCTTGTAATTGTGGGTGGTGATGAGGTGGTGGGGCTAGGGATCAGTGACTGTGTCAAGTTTTTTTCTAAACCTGCTTGCAATCGCTAAACAGACTCTAAAAGCATTGAGCAATGGAGCAGAAGAGGATCTGTAGCTGAGACACGCAAATCTAGTCAAGGGACTTCAATTAAGATGTCATAGCAGGTGCTTCTGTGACGAAGGAGGGACCAGCTTTTCAACAAGTGGTGCTGAAACAATGGATGTTTGTGTGCACTCTTACATCTCGATACCTAATCTCCACGATGCACAGAATTGAACGCAGAGTGGGACACAGTCCTAGGAGTGGAGTGGGAGAGTCTAGAGCTTCTGGAAGGAAGCAGAAGAGAACATTTTTGTGACCTTGAGAAATACTAGGAATAGACTGTGGCCTCTGATCCAAATCCAGCCAGTTTTTAAATGAGCTGTTTGGTGTTGTTACAGTTTTTACATTTTTAAGTATCCACATGTGCATGCGCTTGCGCACTCGCGTGTATACACACAAACACACACACACACACACACACACACACACACACACACACACACACACACCACTCCTCAAGAAAACAGACCAAAACCCAAGACTAGGCCACTCAAACAGGTGAAACAGCCTGCAAAGACTAGTGCATTGACTTTATGATCCTCTTGGAAATGTTCTGCTGAGTCTCTTTTTGGTCAGTGTTCACTGTGATATAACTACAAGTCACAATAAAACCCGGGTGAGTTGGATTCTACCAAAACCAATGCCCTTGCTGGGTGACAGATACAACTAGAGAATATAGGTGATTTCATTATATTTGAGAGAATGTGTTCAGAAAGCACCACATGCCTGCTGGAAAGCTTTATCTGGGACGTGCACTTGGAATCACTGCAACTTATTAAAAGGAAAGGTAGTAAGCTAATAGGGCAAGGGTCAAGAAGCTGGAGCAGACGTTTCCTCTGAAAACACCCAAACAACACCCCCTCTCTCTTTCTTCTCTCTCTCTCTCTCTCTCTCTCTCTCTCTCTCTCTCTCTCTCTCATGCACATGCACACATACTCCTTAGTACAGCAACTGGAGTCTCCAACTTTGCTGGTGGGATGCACCATAGAGCAGTCTGGCATAGTCTGAGGAAACGCATGGTGCATTTACCATATGGTTTAGCAAAGCCACCCCTAGGTATTTTTCTCCTGGGAGATAGAAGAACTTAATATCCCATGAAAATCTGAATGCTTATTGAAATCACCCTGTTCTGAAAACTGTCCAAATACCTTCCATCAGGATAAGAATAAACACATCTTGAGTCAAGCTCACTGTGGAATTCTGGACTACACCACAAGATACTCAGCCTTACCATGGAATGCTGGGCCACATAGTTAGATGTTCAGTCATATCACAGAATGCTCATCTACCATAGGATTCAGGGCCATGCTAATGGAAACTGAACCATACTGAGGAATGCTCAGCACCACCATGGAATGGTTGCCCCATAACACTTGTACCACTATTGCCATGGTAAGCCGTTCATTGGGTTCATAGCTGGGTAAGAACACTGATGCCTTTTCTCCCCAGTAACCTCCATAGCACCTTCTGGCAAAACCAAAGTTAGCCAGTAGGGAGGAAGCTTCCTATTCATTTCCAGCTTGGTTTCTCTATATCTTGTAACAATGTGGTGTCTTCATCAATAGGGTTTTTAATACATGAGAACAACCAAGAGGAAGGGCATTCATCTGTACTATTTGGGGGCCTCTGAGGTCTGCCTGACCAATCATAAGTAGGTAGCCCACCTGCAGCAGGTAGATTTCTATTTAACAACCACGGCTTCTAGGAACAGCAGCACCCAGCCATGCAGAATATCTCCCTCCCAAGCCTTATTTTTTTAATATTCATAGTTTTAATTGGCTTACAAAATAGTAGGTTTCCAGATCAAACAGTAATTTTTAAAATCAGACATTCTAACCTAACACAGTTCAAAAAAACACTAATTTGATACTTATACTCTGAGGAATGACAGTACGAAAATATCAAGTCTTTGTTTTCCATAGTTGTTATATTTCTGTGCGAGCAGAATAGTTTGTACAGTAAAAAACACTGCAGTCATAACAGAGGCTGCATCTGAGCTGAGGCGTTTCCAAGGCGTTTCAGGTGGCTACCAGTGGTGTTGTAGAGTGACATGTGACATGTACATGCAGTGCAGAGTGCTGAGTCCAGAACCAAAGCTGCAATGAGGTCCTGAGCTATGACCCAGGCTATCCCTTCCATAAACACCTCAGATTCATTACACAGTCATTTTTGGATTAATCTTTGGGTGTCGCACAGTCAGAAATCCTGAGTTGTTGTGGTATTTTCATGACCCCACGTTCAGTTATGCACCCCATGCAGTCATGGCCTACAGCTTGGATCTAGAGGGCTACAAGGTCTAATTAGCGTCTAACATGGACGGTTCAAAAGTCACCACTGGAGGGTGTTTACTTCAGCTTTTAGAATTGCAAATGTTAGATATGTACAAGTCAGGTGCATTCGTCTGCACACGTTCTGATGCAAGTTAGAGATGCTGATGTCTCGAGTGGAGTGGACGCTGTGGACCAAGTCCCAAAGCAACTCCAAGTGAAGGCAGTGGGATATGGAGAGCACACAGCACAAGGGCACCTATTGTTTCATCACAAGCATTGATTTCTGTATCAACCACAGGGGACTCCTTGAAATCCCCCAAAGCTAGTCAGTACACATGCTGGTCACTGATGGACACAACATGGCAATAAAAAGGCAAGCTCCAGAAAGCCAGTCTCTACAGGTAAGAAATTAACTTTTCTGGACTCCAGGAAAACAGAGGCAACTTCAACTTTTGAGGGGAGGATTGTTCATTTTTTTTATGTTGCAAAACTCTGAAGCAAAAACAGACATAATGGGGCTAGAGAGATGGCTCAGTGGTTAAGAGCACTGGTTGTTCTTCCAGAGGACCTGGGTTCAATTCCCAGCATCCTCATGGCGGCTCACCACTGTCTGTAACTCAAGCTCCAGGAGTTCTAACACCTTCAGACATATTCACATGCAGGCGAAACACCTGAGTACATAAAATAAAAATAGACACTTTTTAAAAATTAAAAAAAGCCAAGAAGAACAGACATAATGTTTATTTGGATGGACAGATGTTTGTAGTAGATGGATGTGGGCATATGTTTTTAATCTATTCTGGGTCCTTTTTTAAAAGACACTGTATCCCCCTCCTGTGAACACAGCTGGCTTCCCCTGTCTTAGCCCCTAGCCTGCTCTTCTATGCCCTGCTGTGTGGGTCCAGGGCTGGGGCTTGGCAAGCCACCATCACCAGCTTCTTCTGCTGGAGGGATAGGTCAGGAAGGAAGATCCTCATTGCCGAGTTCCGAAACCCACTGAGTGCCTCTCTTGCACTCACGCAGGGGTTCACATCTGCCTCCTGCCTCCTGGCTCCAGACAGGTACCAGAATGAATGCCCTTTAGGTATGCAACCTGTGGGGTCCTCTGGCCTCCTGTACAGTGAGTCTAGAAACCCTAGTACCTGTCATCTTTGTGCACCTTAGCCTCCAACAACCAGTAGCCAAGGGGGATTGTCAGCTTGGTAACTCTAGGCTCATGTCTAGTCACAGTCCACAGCTGACTCACTTTTCCCTGGGCTCTGATGACACCCCATACCAGATAAATTTAGGCTCCATAGAGCTGTGCTCCAGAGTCTGTAGGGTCCACTTTAATGAAAACACACCTTCCCTGGAAAAGCCATAGAACAAGGTCGATGCGAGCACACAGAGAAGCTGAAGCTATAATGGGCATGACTTGAAAGTGAGCAGCGGCCACCAGAAGCCATCAACAGTGTATGGTAAAGAGAGGTCACAGTGTGGACCTGAAGCACGGTGACCCATT